GCCAAGGATATGCCAATAAGTGAACTTAATCACTGTCCTACGTGGCATATCCATTTAACAACAGGGGACTTAATGGACTAGTACACCGGGGTAACCCCCTACTCTTCTCGAATGATGTACCGGGTTCTTTAAAGTGCACACAAGCCAAATGCGTACACTGGACCTACGGTTTAAAGTCCTTATCCGAGAAGACTTGTTCCACCACCGGAACCATTGGCGAGTGAGCCATTCGAACCAACGCCGATATTAGAGCTAAAGGTCACGGTGCCCCTGACTTAACCGCTCGGCCAATCAACTCGCCAAGTCAATCATAGGCCTAGGAAAGTTATGCTCACCCAACCGTGACAGCATTGTTATGCAGGCTGAACAGCAGAGCACAGCCCTTCACAGTTCAGCACTTAGGCCTATAATAGTATAGTTTCATATATACCATATTATTACAAAAGAATGTTTGAATTGACACTGCATTTTATAATAATGTTTTTCTTTCTCTAGTTTATTTGTACAGAATTTTAATTGACTTAATTTATTAATTGATTATAAAATTTGATTGAAATTAAATTGGACATTTAAATTGGAAATAAAATTCAAAAAGAAGAACTGCCGAAAAGTAGATTAAAAAATACCGAGATGGTGTCCGGTGGGGAATTTTTACCATGTAATATTGCAAAATTATAATCTTATAATTCCGGCCCTGAAACGACCATCGATCACGTTTTATTTCATAACCCGATAAGTAAAAAAGATAATTTGATGGGGTTTGGACTATTTTACTCAGCATTAAATTCTCTATCAGAATAAACCATTTAGAAAGTCTAATTCATATAACATATGTTTGCCTGTGAACACCCTATATATTGGGGGGTTTCAAAGGCTTATTTAATCGATGTTAGAGTCTAGCCTATTTTAGTATTAATCCCAGGCCTAGATAAGGGCTAGCCTAGGGCCTATATATAAAAAATGCATAATTAATTAATCATAACATACACTCGTTGTTTGCTGCTGCTGAGTCAGTTGTGTATTGATCAGGGATGATTTCGATATAAAGTTCAGAAAATTTTTTCTTATCTTGATACACACGCCGCTGCCTAATTAAAAGCATTTAACCATCCCATCCCATTACTACACTCCCTGTTTACATTCACCAATAAAATGTTTTTATTTTATTTGACAAAATTTAATTTTAATTTTTTTTCTGTCCTCTGACAATTAAAAAAAAAAATTGTGAAAGAAGGTATAAAATAGTCTTGCCTCATCATTCTCCTCACAAAATATTTCAGAATCAAGGGTTTCTACTAAATATCGAGAAAGAAACGGTTCTCTTATCATTGGCTAATTACCGGATTAGCAAGATAAGAACCACGTTGCAACTGCATTTTTGGTTCCACATGAAACGGTTACCGAACTGATACACTACATATACATGACGTAACAGTTACTCATTTTGCAATTTAAAATGGCCTTAATAAAAGGTTTAACAAGAACATTTTTGTGCAGTACAAGAGATACTGTGTTCAGGAGAAAAGTTTAACATTTGTTTTACTGATTCCTCATAATATCAAATTATAATTTGGTTCGTACTACTATATCAGTGATAGGCCTACTGTATCACTGGCATGGTGGAACATTAATAAAGATCTTAATATTATGCTCAAAAAGAGTCAAAGGTAAAATCATGTTGGAAGCCTAAACTATTGATATCTGAAGTACAGTACTGATAAAAAGTAATTCTCAATTACGTCCTTTTCAACAATTCTACTAAACGTAATATTCATACAGTAGGCCTAGCTTTCTGGCTAAGTTGACCTTAGGTCATATTATGTATTGATCTGTTCCAAAGAACCGTTTAAAAAAAACGGTGGTTCTTAAGAACGGTTCTTTCTCGTCAGTAGAAACAGGCCCAAGGTAAATAGTTAGGATGGATCGCCTAGCATTGGCTGATATGCCATCTATTATCATCCTCCTCCTACCTTGCATATTATTTGATTAATGTATTGTTAATTAGTTGATAATTAATTAGTTTATATGTTTTTAATTTCCTTCTATTCTACAGAACTACAAACCACTTCATTATTTTCTGTACACACGTCGGTTCATGGCAAGGATCGTCGTTCCGTTTTGGCTAACTTATTACTTTATAAAATACCATGTTGGGGTAAGAGCTTCTTTCTAGTAACCTTTACAATATACTGTATATGGGATGAGACAAATGAATGTACATATTGATGATGCTGATGTTATCTGTGATTTTGATTATCATGTTGATAATAAATTAACACTACACACACAAGTGGCAATAATGATGCATGATGGACATGTGACTTTACTTTCAGAGAAGAGCGGGGGGTGGGGGGGGCGGAGAGGAAGAGAGTACAGTTTGTACACTTGCGAAAATGTTGATAATTGTGAATCACCTCTTAGTGACTTGGATTAACAAATATATTGGCAGATTTTCCTAAGTGAACACCCCATATAAAGGGTATCTCAATCATATCACTGCTAATTTGGTATTTTTTAATAATTCTTGATAACTTTCAGAGCACTGAATTTGTATTTTAAGTCTGTGTGAACACTTCATGGAACTTTGTCTTTTACATTTACAGGAGAAAGGCAACATTGTTGTATCAAAACCAGTAATATACCCGGTTAGTATGTTTATGTCTTCATTTAAAGGTTTGAAAATGGTAATGCTGGAAATTTTCACGTATTAAGCAATTAATATAAAGACATTATTGGAAACTAGTCATCAAAATACCTTCACAATTTGCTATATAATTCAATTAATTGTTATCTCATCAAGCAAGGAAATCCTAGTCTACATTCTTGTTCTCAGAAGCTGGATGAATGCAATTATAATTTGAGAAATCTAACCAACATCTATTTCCTTTCAGGAGTAATAGATGGAAAGAAGCATTGTCAGTCCAACAAGATGTTCATTAGTATGATGTGCAGTGTTAAAATTAGTGACTGGGATTTGAATGAATTTACTAAGGAAGTACAGTAAAGTCAGTCGGAGATTTTCTTCAAGCAACTTATCCATTAGAAGGTTAACTATCAAAGAAGCTTGCAAATCACTGCTTCTTTCAAAATTAATCTAAAGATACTGTTGCTATGACTACAGATTGCAAGTTACTATGCTTATTTGAGTTACATGTAAAGTTATAGAATTTATGAAAAATAAAAATATTAAGATTGAAATCATTTACAGATGTGCTGTCAGCTTACTCCTTGCATTCAATAACAACATTCGGTTTTAGAAACTGATCCCAGAAGTGTATTTGCACATGTGTCAGTAATAGTTTTCAGGCATTTTCTTGGTATTCTTCAGTGTTTGTTGAGTTTGCTGGCGAGTGTCTGCTCGATTAACTGAGAAAGTTTCTCTGTCTATATAAAAAAAAAGCAACAATTATTTCAAACGGCAGACTTACAGCATTAGGTATAATAATCACAACAGGACCAGGAAGACACAAATGCCAGTGTTTGCGTATGTTTATACACAGTCGTTTTGTGGGACCTGGCAAACTTATCCAAGGAGCAGGGCTTAGTGTTCATTGTTCAAATAATATTACTTACCTGATCGTGTGCCACTGAGGGCATGCACCGTAACTGGAACACAGACACTTGGCCTTCAGAGTCACCAACCAGGATACACTGCAAATGTGTCAACACGAAATGATATTTAAATGTGGAGTATTGCATTCATGAATATGAAACACTTTTAATGCATGTTTTTTTTTTTACAATTATAAAAATATATGTTTAATCTCAGTAAAATAGGTATCATTCAGAAAGACTACAAAACTATTTGTATTCCTTATTTGCAGGGCTTGATCCACTGATGTCTGAAGAAAGCAGGGGGCCCCCGAAAGTGGGGACTAAAAGTGGGGCCGATCGAGACAAAACAACCTTATGGGGTCCGGGGCATGCCCTCTGAGGCATTTTGGACGATCAATTTCCAAAAGGGGGGGGGGGGGGGGGGGGGAGGCCATAACCCCCCCCCACTAAATCTGTCCCAGATTTGAGACCCTTTATTTCTGAATATCAACTGACAATCTTCAATCGCTTAACACAAAGCTAATCCTTTAATTGGTGACAGAACTCTCCAAATTTTCAGGTCCAAAAAGTAATACAGTAGTTTAGAAGGTAAATCAAAGTAAATTACAATAGAGATATTCAGATTTAATAGTGCAGGCCTACTTACATCTGAGTTGTGAGCGAATGTAAGGCAGGACAACTTCACTCCCGGAGCAGGAACTGACACTATTAACGGATCCAATCTGATATTATAAATGAAGTAAACATTAATAAAGATGAAATATAATGATCTGCAACTTGCATTAGCATAGAAAAAATACATATTACCTGATGTTTTGGAAATCTGGACAACACTGCCATTTGAAGAAAATCAAGTTGTTGGGTCAAACATTTTCAAGTTTGATATTTTCACTGTATTATTTTCATAAAATCATAATAATAATGCAACATTTATATAGCGCAATATATTTTAATATCTTGCCAATTTGTCTAGGTTTTGTGCGGGTTGGCGCAGTGGGTGGTTGCAGTTCCGCTTCTCAACCTTGCGGTCGGAGGTTCAATCCCTCACGGTGCATTTTGCTTGTGTCCTTAGGCAAGGCACCTTACCTATGGTTGCCTCTCTCCACCCAGCAGTTCAAGTGGGTGCCTCGTAGTTTCAACACAATGCGCTGATTACAGCTGCAACATTATGGAATTCTCTCCAGGGAGCTGAGTATGTGTTCCATATTATGTGCTTGATCCAATGACCGGGGATAATAGCGCTTAGAGGATTTGTTGACATTAAGCACTACATAAGTCTAACATTAATATTACTATGTATGATATAAATAACTATCATCATCATCATCATCATCATTTATTTAAGCCAGTTTTCTTCCCTCTTCCAAGGGGTTACTGACTGTCACTCGTTCCATGCAGCTACACCATCTCTCCACTTCTTCCTGTTTTGTGCATCATACTCCTCCAAACCAATTTTTGCACTTTCTTTCTTCACCATATCTTTCCACGTCACCTTTGGCCGCCCCCTTACTCTTCTACCTTCAACTTCTAGATGCCAGGCTCTATTTACTGGATCACCTTCGTCTTTTCTTGGCACATGACCCATCCATCTCAAGCAACTACTCATAACAACCTCCACAATTGTTTCACTTAGACCTAGACGTTCCATAAGCTCCTTTGTGTTCCTTCTTTCTGCCAGCTTAACACCACACATTTTTCTTATCATTGCTCTTTCTGTTCTTCTCAAAATTCCCTCTTCCGTTGTCTTTATGTTCCATGTTTCGGCACCATACACCATTGCTGATCTTACACAGGCTTTATAAATCCTACCCTTTATTCCCAATGAGAACCTTCTGCCACACAGTACCATGGCCAGCTCATTGAACTTAGACCATCCAACCCTACTTCTCCATGCCACCGTAATTTCACAACCGCCTCCACTATTAAGTGTATCACCAAGATAACACAAACGGTCCATTCTCCCAATCTCCTGCATTTGTTGTTCCACCACCTGGTCTTCAGCCTCATTACTATTACTATTCAGCCTCATTACTATTACTATTACTATAACTAAATACTGTATTCATTCCATTATCATTATTAAGTAATTTAAAAAGGTCCAATTATCATACCTCCAACTAACATAATCAACCTGTTAATCAAAATGACATGTTCGACTTACGTATTTTGGTCCACATCCCAAATCTCAATAGCACCTTCATTGACACAACCGAACACAGAAGCAGAAGTCGGTGACCAGCATACATCCATAACAGATTTCTGTAAAAAAAGTTAATAGCAATTTTAATATCAACAGTCCAAAAGTGTATCAACAAATTTATGAATAGTTCTCTGATGGATGGATGAGAAGAAATAGAGATCCACCTACCGTAGATGAGAAGAAGTTGAGCACAGGTTGTAAATGGTCCTGCTGCCAGAGACGTATACTCCAATCATTACTGCAGCTTAGGAAGACGTCAGGGAGGAATGGAGACCACTCAATACGATATACAGGGCCCTGTTGAGACAGTAGCAAAATTATTTGATTAGACTAACTATATAAATTTAACAGACGTACAGTGTTCATTACTGAACTGAGGATTTGAGATGTTAGGAGCCCATCGCACAAAGTCAAGATGCTTGTGTAGTAGTAGGGTAGCCAGTTGATTTTTAACCTCTCCATTAGATTGATATGAGCATCTCCCCTTTATCTTCCCCTGATCCGCGGTCCTTCTCAATCCACTTTAACTCCCAAACAGGTGCTGAATGCTTTGCATTGCTCTCACTGTAGAGAAAAGGAATCCATACAAAATCATTCAAGTGTAAAAGTTACATACTAGTCTTTGCTAAGCTTGACAGTTAGCCAACTGTCAGCTTATGCAGGTATGCCAGGTGTTAGAAGATAGATTCATGCAAACATGAAATAATTAATGCTTCTAAAAATCTATATTTAATTATTTCATTAATTTTTTTAACAATAACTTACTAGCTGTCGAGAGCTGGTTCATCTTTCATACTCCTAACATTATAGATTGCAACTGTACCATCGTAAAGACCAACCTGTGATAAGTAATCATTTACAACATTGACAAAAGCAATAGGCATTAATGCTTTTTAAAAGTTCCCCTATCAAACAATGCTGGAAATTATTCTAGTTCTTCAATGATGATCCATCAGAACTAGTAAACAAATGGGGGATTAACATCCCAACATCATCAGTGTCAATGCCACCTTAGCTAAAGCACCACATCAACTTTAACCTCCGACTTCACTCCAACACAACTACAATAGCCCCATCTCACTTCAGCCATAATAAAAGAGCGTATTTCAAAACAACTCACAGCTAGTAGGTTGGGATTATTTACTGAGAAGTCCATCGATGTTACACCTGCTTCACAATGAAACACTCTTTCTGGATACTAGAAATTGAAAATCAAATATTGAAACAATTGAAAAGGACATGTAACAAACAATATTAGATAAAAAACTAGATTTGAACTCATCACTGAGGACGAGTTAGGTGATCCGCCGCACTTTGACCCTCATTAAGATCACTCGATGCTGATTGAAAAGTGTCATAATATGCTAAAATATGCTGTAATTAGTTTTTTTAAAAAGAATAATTTGAGCATTTTAAAGATTTCCGCATGTGTACACGTACGTCTTGACGCCCGTGAGCACGGTAATAGTACAAAGAGTGACTCCTGATATGAATAATGTGTCAGGAACACAAAGTATGTAACAAAACGTGATTTCCAGCTTTAATATGTGCTGTGTGCGTGGAAATGAACGTACGGTGGGTAAATTATGGAATGCATTTGAAAGGCTGAAAATGACCCGAAACGTTCTTTAAACTATCTAAATAGTAATATGGAGAATTTTCAAATTTTAACAGACACGCACGTCACCATGTGTGCGTGTACACTAATAGCACACGAAATTAAACATTGTCAAGTGTATTTAAAACCGCCTGTTAGTTGGTAATGCCACACGAACTTTCCCTTCACATAACCTATATATATATTAGTCTGATAGCGTCGAAATACAGTCTGCCGCCCTCACTCTGTTCTATTGTTTTACATCTTTTAAGAATGATAGATAAAAGGGCTACAAAAATTCCTTCTTTTTAACCATGTTGACGTGATCAAAATGAAAAATAAAGGGACACGTCTTCAAGAGAATTGATTTAGCTATAACATATTCACAGGTGGGAGACAATCAATCAAGAATAAGCGAGATACGTTCAAACGAGTATAAACATAATGGCATCATAAATAAAAATTCAGGTTTATAATTCAAATGGCAATATGATGACGTCACAATGTCCGATCAGCCATTATGAAGTAAAAACTCATGTGCTTTCAGATTATGTAATAAAAATTGGGGGTCACCTTTCTTCCTAAGGAGCTATAACTGATTAAAAATATTCATGGTTTTATGCATATATAAATGTTGATGCATGCTAAAAATGTAAATGCACGCTAAAAAGCGCGAACGGAAAATTAATTTACATAACATTCAACCTTGACCTGAAGCTTATGCTCACCTAATATGATTTAGAAATGACGAATGGTTAAGATTATATGCGGTCATCAACGTTTTGAAGAAAGAGAAACGAGGGGGTCAGAAAAAACAATTTTTTTGACCATGATGACGTCATCAAAATGTAAAAAGGAGTCAAATATATGAAAGAGAATTGTTTCAGCTATACCAAAGTAGGAAGACGATCGACCAAGGATAAGCGAGATACGCTCAAATGCGTATTTTCAAAAATGACGTCATAGCTATAATTCACTTCCTTTGAATTCAGATGCCAATATGATGACGTCACAATGTCCGATCAGCCA